ACGTCAATAAATAAAGTAAAATTTTCGTAATTCCGATAGACTTTTGACAGGACTTTTAATAACTAATTTAGATTTTTATTTTTAATTCAACTCTGACGCTGACAACAGCTAGTAAATAATTTAAGCATAAATGTATGTGTCTACATGATACATGTACCAAAAATCATCATTATCTCCTCCTTATCGTATTCCCGTAGTGGCGCAGCAAGTTTTTGTCCTCCACATAACTCTATCATACGTCATCTCAGTCATTCCCTTCTTCATTATGTCAGCTTGCAACTAGTACATTTACAAATATTCTTTGACAATTATAATGATCAATTTATCAGACGTCCCTAGTGTAAGTTTCACAAGAATTGTGTTGCAAATTGTATATTTCTTTACACGTTCTGACGTCTGAAGATAATATTAAATTTACGATATCATGCTTTAAAATTGGAACATGATATAAAGCTTTCATATCGCTGACAGGTTTGCTCTAACCTTAAGTTATCGCTGCTTATTACTTTGCACATATTTATATCTTGTTTCACGTGTTTTATCATAATATAGTTGATTGAAAAATTAATACTACTAGGAGCAATATTTATCTCATTTAATAATCATGAGAGCATAATCGAAGCAAAAATGTGACAATATTTAAGTCTAGTTGTTGCCGCGATTTCGCTTTCGTGAAATTAAAAAAATAATAAACCATATAGCCTATGTTACTCACTGATAACGTATCTTTGTAATGGTGAAAGAAGTTAGGTAAAAATGGTGAAATCGACCCAGTAGTTTTTGAGTTATTTCAATAAATACAAAAGTACAAAAATACAAACAAATCTTTGTAATGTTAGTATAGATATAGATAACAGACCACCGATCTAGTTTACTTTAGTTGATGGTTTTAATGATTCTATTGAACCATAACTCAGTATTAATTTTGAGTAGTTAGTACTTAAATTCAAAAATCTGTTATTTTTTTCAAAAAAAGAATGTCTTAAATAATTCGATAGTCTGACTTGACGCCAACAAGATCTATCAGGATTTATAGAGGGATTTTACATACAAAGAATCTCGTGTCTCAGCAGATAAGCGCTTTAACAAATTGGACGTGAAAGTAACGATCAAGTTGAAATGGTTTTGTATAACAATGCTTAGATGGTGTAAAGCTTTTTATTTATGTCTTATTTACAACTTTTGACATTATATATTACTTTTCAGTGCATACGCATAATTAAGGTAATGTAGCTTAATACGAGATTATCTTATGTAAATTATGCATCTTAAATTATGAATTACTAGCTTTCGCCCGCGACTCCGTCCGCGTGGAGTATAAAAAAACGAAATTAAGAAGAGCACATAGGCTATGTGCTCTTCCAGGCTATCTTCTACATCTGTACCAATTTTCATCGAGATCCGTTTAGCCGTTTAGGCTACAAACTCTAACAAACATCCATCCATCCACCTATCCATCTAAACTTTCACATTTATAATATTAGTATGATTTAACTGACGTTAAAGTAATTAATTATCCGATTTTTTTTAAATGATCAGGTGCATTTGTAAAAAGTAAATTTGCCCTGTTTTCTTGTACTATCAGCTTATTTTAGTAATATACAATTTCTCTCAACGTGTCTTCACACATAAAATGTGATTACTGAAACTTTTCTTACAACGTTTCAACGCGTACCGGAAATTGTAATTTCCATGTAACGACGCAGATGTCGCTTGCGTCGCAATCATTGTATTAGATATTTCAATCCTTTTCTCATTTGCAGTTAAATTCAACCACACTTTGAGTACGACGAAGAGAAATGATAGGCCCCATGTATTTCAAACACTGCTGATCTAATTTTCTTTTTACGAGCTCTTAGTTTTACCCGACGTTTTCATCAAACCTTACAAAATTTTAATCCACTTTTGGGTTGCTGATTTTTTTTCACAAGTGAGTATAAAAGTATCTTAGCCATTATCAGGTTAGTTTTATTATTCAGGTTCTTTCTAATTAATATTATAAATGCGAAAGTTTAGATGGATGGACTTTTGTTAAAGTTTGTAGCCTAAACGGCTGAACGGATTTTGATGAAATATGGTATGGATATAGAGGATAGTCTGGACCACTAGCTATTGTTTTTTTTTTTAATTCCACGCGGACGGGCGTCGCGAGCGATAGCTAGTGGTAAATAAACTTATGGAGTTTTTCCAATATTGAGAGCAAATCCCTCTTGAGGTTCATAATGAGGTCCCGAGCTATACTGTGGTTGGATTAATTACTCCACTTAATAACTGCGGAATCCGGAATGTAGCACAAAATGTATGCTGGTGCTTTAGTAAATAGCGGCCATAAGCACTTAATGCACTTGTTATATTTTATTAAAAAATTATACGGCCTCTTTAAATATTGCATGTCTAAATGAATTGTGTTTCTCTAGAACTTTTTTGTAATTACAGTGAGTTTCCACTGTCATAATACCTGTACTAAAACATTTGGTTATCTTTATTTTATCAAATAGAAGTTCGTTTGGGAATACATTTCTCATTTAAGTATTATGTTTGAACTATATAAAAACTATAATTTAATTCAGTTATCCTCCTGCCTCTATTATATCTTGTTAAGAAAAACCGTTTTAAACTTACTTTTTAAATATAATTTCCATTAAACCCCAATGAAAATTTTCTTAAATTGTACAACAAAATTAACTACGCAAAGTCTCAGCTCAGAAGACGGTCGCCGAAGTCTCTAGGGAATTCGAAATTAGTTCAAATAAAATTAATTAAAGCGGTCACTCGATGCAAATTGCCACATTACCATTCCATTTGGGAACTCAATAATTTCAAGCAATTAAACAATGTCTAACGGAGATCGTTTGGAAATGAACTAGGGATATTTAAAATTTATAATTTCAACTTGTATTTCATTTCATGAAGCAAAGTAATACGCACAAATTGGACTCAATCGTATAAGACATTATTACACCCTTTTAACAATCGAAAATTTAGCTTCACTGTTAACAAAAATTCAAGGTAACTACTAGGAACAAAACCTCCAAGCCAAAGCAACAAAAGAGGAAGATTGTCATTGTATCGGTAATAGCCAATGGCGGACCTGTTTTCATTTGTGCATATGAAGACAATAACGTTTTTATAATTCCATATGGATGAAGCTGCACGGATCAGTATTAGATTAATTAAATCATACTAATATTATAAATGCGAAAGTTTAGATGGATGGATGGATGTTTGTTAGTTTATAGCCTAAACGGCTAAACGGATTTCGATGAAATTTGGTATAGATGTAGAGGATAGTCTAGAAGAACACATAGGCTATTCACTTTTGTGTTTTTTAATACCACGCGGAGTCGCGGGCAAAAGCTAGTTCGGTTATAAAGGGAAAAGGTTTGTATTCAAGTGACTCAAAAACTACTGGGCCGATGTAAAAAAAACTTTCACCATTAGAAAGGTGTCTTTTATCTATCTGTTTGTTTTTTTTTTATCTATCTGTTATTTTTTATCTGTTAGTGGCCAGTTTTTTAAATTTTACACGAACGAAGTATTAAATAGGACTCAGCATGTTTAAAGATTTAGAGGATGACAAATGCAGCAGTAAATTCATCATTTTCAAATAATTGCACCACGCTTTATTATGATAGAGTATTTTAAGTGTTTCTTATCTAAATAGTATTCTTAAAACGTGGTCATATAAAATTCGTTATTCGAATGAAAAGGCCATTTAATCCGTACCCTAATTTGTGAGCGGAAAAAAATGAAATCGCTTCGACGTTGCTAGAATTTAAATAATTCTTAAACGAGTTTATAATTTTACTGCTAAATTAAGTGAGCTAGGACCTGGAGTATTACGATGTAATATAGAATGTGCTGTAACATTGAAAACATTTAAAATAAAGAAAACAATTTGATTATTTTACAATAAGTATGATATTTTCGCAATTTTGGCAGATGGTTGTAGAATTTGTGAAATAATAATAGTGATAGACATTATTTTCAAACAATTGCCTATCTATTTATACAGATCATTGTTTGAAATAAATTATTTTATTTAGCATTTATAAAGGTGAATATAAATAAAACAATACGTTGTTTCCCAAACTTTACTTTAAAAATATAATACAAATACAATAATAACTTTTATATATCGCGATAATTACAACTAAATTATAATCAACAATATTCTTACATAGTTAAGAAAGGCATGCCTTGGCCGTTTACAATCAACAATTACACTATATAACATCGATTATGTTGAAACTACACACAGGGGGGGGGAATACACGTGCCAGTAAATTATAGTAGCTGGCATACTAGCACTGCAATGCTAATACACACGCCAGTAAAATGTTCTAGAAATCGTAAGCGATGAGGCATGCCAACTTCCTTAACACCAGTCTTCAAAATGTGTGCAAATTACTGGCATGTGTTTTCCCGCCCTTATGTAAATAAAAACGTGGATACATTTGTACCTTATATGTGTACTAATACACTTATAAAAGCAGCCTTGTACATATAATTGTAACATTCGAATTAAAAAATCAAGAACTTGGAGAAAAAAAATTACTGCCTAAATACAATTTTCTTGAAGGACAAAACGACTGTTACTTATTTTAGTAACAATTTAAAAACACAATCATAGGTTTGCACTGACCTAAACATCTATTGAAAAACATTATTTTTCTGTTTTTACCCGACAATGTGTGAAATAAAATTATGTCTTTGTGAATGTTTCACCCGTGGAAACAATATGATTTAAAACTACTTTCAATATAACCTATATTAATGTCATCAGTAATAATTATTACTTTTCAATGTAATTACATGGCAACTTTTAATGAATTTGGTATACTTCACTCAGTCACAGCAACAATGTGATTATGGCAACACACTATTGTGTCTACAGAACAGATTCCATAATTTTCCTAAAACCTAGGCATTATTATTTTAAATCATAAAATAACTATGATTTCTAATAAAACAATTTGTTTATGATATGTTAAAATATGAAGCATGCATTAAGTTTAAAAATGGCTTCATTTTGAAAATTGTTTACATTTCCAAAAAAAAAATATATTTTCATCACTAAAGCAAACGCCTATTATATGCCAGTTATAGTTCTACAAGCTTATATATAGTCAAACAAAGATATGTGAGCCGTTAAGAGGTGCATTTGAGGTTATGTTTGTCTGAAAATGTGTAAATCCAACACAATAACAGAAATTGACATAAAATGTACCCAGGAAGCTACAGTACGACAATGATTGTGTCAATCATAGTAGATACTAGTTAGCATTCATAATATTTGACCAGAAAAACTTATCGGTCTCTTAGAAAGAGAAAAAAAATCATGTTTTAGCAATAGAAAGTTTGCTATCAACTGTTTGCCACATTTCCTGTGCTAATAATTTATTTCATCTGTTAAAGAAAGGTGCCTAATGTATTTAAAACATAGTTTAGAATAAACTTTTCTTAATAATAAAAATCTGTACTGTATAGTACTTTGTTTTTCAATACAAAACATTGTTTAGATTTTAACTAATATGTTATTGAATTTCTGGAATGTTTGAATAGTTATATATTTTATATATTGCTGTATAGCATACTTATGTCAGCATAGGTATATTTGTAAACCTAATTGATATTACAAGCCTTAATTTTATGTAATATTCAAGCAAAATCACAGACCATAGTATATACAAATGTTTCAATTGCATGTATAGCTCTTTTTATAATTTTTATATATGGATAGTTTTGATATATAAAAATATGAAATTATACTTATTCATGTATGAGAGTTTTCCATACTTAATTCTTTATCTTGATACAAATCCAGTTTTTGTTACCCAAATAGTGCTCCGCAGTTTGAACACCTTCTGTTTTTCATTGCTAAGCAGCATAATATTCCAAGCGGGAAGAAGAGAATAGCACAGAGGATGCCGAGGCATGTGAAGTCATCTTCTAGAATACCAACACGGCATGCTGGACAGGCTCCTACGGTGATTATTGGTGGTGTGATCACAATGTTAGTGGCTCCATAGTTTGGTACAAAGGCTGTAGGTGGAGGTGCAGTGGCATATGGGGTGTAACCAGGAGGAGGAGGTGGATATGCTACTCCTTGCATCCCAACTGGCTGTGGTGCTGGTTGAGGTAGTGGACCTGGAATTTAGTACAAAACATTTTTACTTAACACTATATTTAACTTGCATTATCACAATATAATTGCCTTTAATAAAAATGCCTGTTTCCAAGTATAGACATTGCAAACACAGTAACAACTCTGGTGATAAGATAATATTAATTTCCTGGACAATGTTAATGTTATGTTTACAAAAACAGTGTTATTATTAAAAATTATGAGTGTAATTATTTAAAATGTGTGTATATAGTAAATTTACTGCAAATAAATATTAATTTCTTACTTATTAACAATCTAATTTGAGCATGTGACTCCATCCATGTGGAGTTTAAAAGCCTATGTGTTCTTCCAGACTATCATCTACATCTACACCAAATTTCATCAAATTCTGTTCAGCCGTTTAGGCTACAAACTCTAACAAACATCCATCCATCTAGACTTTTGCATTTATAATATTAGTATGATTACTAAGATTTTTATCACAATCATCTCTATTATTTATTTAGGTAATCTTTGCTATTACACTAATTACAATGTGAAATTTGACTAAATAATAATGTTGAGAATATAATGTAAACTGATTAGCTACACTACGGTGAAATTAAGTCCGTAATGCGTTAATAATAGGATGTACGCTGAGGCATTGTTCCAGATTATAGTGCCTATAATCCAATAAATTTTGTTAGGTTTTCGTTGTTCTAATACGACCTTTTTAATACGCCAAACCATATACTTTAAACATTTTGCTAGGGTCTGTGTCATTAAATAAATAAAAAAGTCTTGGTAGAACCGGATATTTTCCTGTTTATAGATTGCAATGAAATATAATAGTACGAAACATATAATTTAAATAGTAATTATGGTTAAATTGTGTTTAAAGAAGTAATATTTGCGTAATAAAGTATCGAAGTTTCTTCCAACAATCCTTATCAAAGAAATATAATGATGTGAATCATTACCATTATATGCAAGGATGGTGAAACATAATTTGTTTTGCAAACTTACCAGGTGGCATAGTTGCTGAATATGGTGGAGGTTGGTCCGAAATAGTAACATTTGGCTTCTCCATCGTTTCTTCTATAAGTTTCGAAAACCTTTGTCGAGGAATCTTTGTTAAAATCAACAAGGGAATTACAATAAAAAATACCCTATCAACACAACCACAGTCACAAATAAAAATAACACATCAAATTGACAACTGTCAAAGAAAGTATTGCCAGCTATGTCTACATGGATCTCGTAGCATCTTTTTGACATTGACAAGTGGGCGCCTACGAGCGTTTGGGGTTACTAGGGATCATGAAATTCCTTATTTCTTTCGAAAGTTTTCAAGGTTTAAAACAAAACTAAACAATGCAAAAAATAGAAGTGAGTATAATTGAGTACCCGTAGTAAGTGCTTACAATTTAAATTGATGTATCTAAATTGTCAACTTTTTGTTGAGAATTTACAATACCTAGTTATCGTAAGTTAGCATCATATTACTCGGAGCCCCAATGTCACTGAATAAAACTACATGTTAAATCAACAGTCGTAATACAGAACAGAATTTATGGAATTTCAAAATTATAAGAATGGCGACATTCACAAAATATGACATTTTTTCAAGATGACATTGTTAGTTCCCAAATATACCAACTTCCTTCTGGTCCATGTAGATCCATACACTCAAAAAGGTTATCCTTTTTTTTATATTTTAACGTATATTACTTTTAAATAAATATGTTTGGAGATAATTTAGGTTCTAGCTATGTTTAATTTTTAAATTATGGCTCTTTTTAGATTAATCATTGGTGATAATAGTAGATAACAACATAAAATTAACCGTTGTCTTTTTCAAGGAGAAAGACAGAGTATGTGTGTAGAAGATTTCTTGCAGTGGAAATGTGGGCAGAGTTTGTGGTGCAATTTTAACAAGCTATTAATTTGAAATTACAATAGGCAGGTTGATTTTGTGAAAAATTGAAGAAGAAATCCTGTTTTGAGACTTCCTTCTTAAACATTTTTGGTTAATGAAATACTCTGTTTTTTATATTTTTTTCACTAATTTAGTTATAAAATAAGCAACAATGAACCCCACTGCTTGTTATTTTACACTGCTAGGAAATATTATATGGATTTAATCCCCATTTCTACTATCGCCGGACATAATCCAATGTGATTCTTAGATAGAAAATAGTAAAAATATAAAATAAAACAGCAAGTAACTATCGAACTTTCAATATATTCATTATATTTCACAAAACAATAACTATTAACGTGTCATTAACTAATTATAATCTAAGTCACTATTATATTTACAACATAACCTCAATTGGAACTTTTTAAAAAACACATTGAATTTAAACAAAATTAAAATATAACCCCTACAATTGTGTCTAATGCACATGTGTGTCCATTTGAACTAAGTATACACTTGAAGTTAAAAAGTGCCAAAATATACAATGCAAAAACTTAAAATTGTACTTATTTTCAATACATTAAGAAACAACCTAAAAACATATTTGTTCTCGTCTTAACAAAAAGGATATGAATAGAAACGAAAAAAAAATGCATTTAATGTAACTAACAAAAGTAAATAAAACTTGACCATAGTTGCAATAAATATTTGAATCATTTCAACAAATCCAAGTTGTTGTAATTAATAAAATTCATCTAATCAAAGCAAAAAATAAAATAAAAACTATATTTTTAGTTACAACACAAAAATAAATGATTTTCGAATTTATGGAAAACAAAATATTCATACAACAAACGTGTGAAATAAAAAAAAAACTTAAAATGTTAGACTCATATTGACTGTCTTACTAAGGCCTTTAAAAAAACTAAATAAAATAGTTACAGAATTCAGTTTAAAGCAGAGTGTATATCTAGAGAGACTACAAACTGATATCTGGCAACACAGCAATGTTTAAATCAGGTTTGCATAATAACAGTTTCATATAACTAAAATTGAAGTTTTCCTGTAATTAGAATTTAATCACTAACTAAGATATGTCATAAATTGTCATTTAAGCTGCTAATGGCAACACAAAAAAATTAACAACGGTAACGGTTAAAAAAAGCCGTAATCTTAATTTTACATTAGCTAAATGTTTTTTCGCATACTATTTAAATGTTTATGTTTTTAAATGTTTTTTACAATTAGAAATGCAATTATTGAAACTTTAGAAAATTCTGTCATATCAACCAAAATCGATTTGTTATAGTGTTACATTTTTATCTGGTTTGTTACCAAAAATCAACTTAGTCTAGTCATTTTTTAGAGTCTTGTCAATTCTGTGTCTAGTCAAACTAAATTATGACAGCTCGTTAGTGCCCTCTTATTAATAAAAAAACTGTCACAATATATTTCTCTCCAATCCAATAAGGTAGTTTAGAACAATAAAAAAGCACGGCTATAGGTTATGTTAGAAAATGTTTAAAAACCTACATGGATAGAAAATGGCATAAATAGAGGGCTAATGAGCTATCATAATTTAATGTCACTTATGCCACGGGTCCTATAACTTCGTAACCTGTACTTGTGTTGTCATTTTTGTATTTTCTATTATTAAATCGGTTTTATATTTTCTGTCAAAATTGACCGCAAGGTAAATTTGCTCTTTGCAAATTTACCAGAAAAGTGCGCAGTTTTGTTCGGAGTGTGACAGAATGACAGTGTGACAGAGTGACAGTGTCACAAGTCAAACGATCCTATGAAAAGCGCAGTGTTATCGAAACGCGCTGCGTTAGGCAGTCAACGCTATAGTGTGATAGCGCTAAGTGGGTCATTGTGACCAAGTAACATTGTGACCTATGACAACGCGTCAGTGGGTCAACGTAACAGTGTGGAAATTTGACCGTGTGACCGTATGACGCGACAGTGGGACCGTTTGACGTGCGACAGTGTGACCGTGTGACAGCGTGACATTGTGTCGGCGTGGCTAGTAGCGCATGGGCGCCCAGAGGCCGGTCTGGTCGTCGCGGCGGTAGAAGTGCGGCCGGTTGTCGGGGAACACCGTCACTGCGGGGAACGGGTGCGTCTGGATGAACTTCAGCGTCACACGGATCTGGAATTATTTATAAAAACATTTAAAATAAATAAAGACGTTTTATTCTTGTAGTGTATGGTATACAATATATGGAAATATAGTACAATAAATTATTTTTTTAGATTAGAAAGAGACAAACGGTGAAACTTGTTTTTTTTTAATAACAAGAGGGGGCAAACGAGCGAGAACACTGAGGTAGTCAACGACGCCCATGGACTAAACTATTGAACGGATCCCGAAGAAAATTTGACACAGATTTATGGAATAGTCTGGAAGAACACGTAAGCTTCCTTTTGTTATTTTAAAGTTACTAATAAACATAACCTATGTTACTTACTGATAACGTAACTTTTTAATGGTGTAAGAATTTTTGAAATCGATCCAGTAGTTTTTGAGATATTTCAATACATACAAAGATACAACTCTTTCCTCTTTCTAATATTAGTGTAGGGAGCGTTTACTAGTAGATGGCGACATTTAGTTAACTTGATTTGTTTTAATAATGTGTGTTACAGACGTGGTGCACGAAGTGCGGGGGCTCCGCGTTGGGCGTGGTGCTGAGGTGCTTCAGTATGAAGTCGTCAGTCTGCTCCAGCCACAGGTCGGCGCCGCGCAGCGGGTCGTAGTTGAACGGCCCGATACGCAACATGCCCACTCCGTTGTCGTAGATGTCCAAAACCTTAACACCACCAATTATATAAAAACAATGCTAAAACTTGTTTTTGAAACTGACTGTGTTAGCTTCCTATTGGTTTGTCTGCAAGATCGCTTATAGTGACAAGCTTTAACATATCGTATACATGATATGTACATAAATAATCTAAATTAAACAATTCTTTAGTCGCTTCATGAAAAAATTTAAAGATGTATCAAATCAAACCGCACACGGCCATAGTCTATGGTCTAATTACCTACTCCTAATACCTCGTTGGAAATGTTTGTATTTAAGTTGAAGACATATTTGTAGATAATAAATATTATTTATATTAAATATGAATCAAATAAGACCTAACGCTTTATTTGTCAATCTAGGATACAGTCTGTTCTGATATAGTCTTGTTAGCCAGCTAATAAATATGGGTGAACAAAGATAAGCTTACCTGTGCAGAGTTAGGTCCTCCAGTGATAGTCCTGGCGGCTCGCAGCGGCAGCTCAGGACCCTTGTCGGGGAAGGTCGCGGGGAAGAGGTCTCCCGCGCGGACGTCAACTCCCACGCCTGTCACCAGAGGCGAGCCCGCGCCTCCGCCCAGCGCGGTGTTCAACTCGCAGCAACAAGCCATCGTCAGATCAATCTCCTCGGACAAACGGTGGAATGATACTGGAAAATATTATAGTATCATCATCACCAGCTCACTATATGTCCCTACGAAGGAGCTCGAAGCCTAACCCACGTTAGGGGTGATTAGGCCAGCAAACCACGCTAGCCAAGCGCTGGTTGGCTTCACACATAACTTTGAATTTATTTCCCGATATGCGTAGACATTTTGATGTTTTCCTGCACCGTAAGAATTTCGGGAAAATTATACACATATGTAATTCGAAAATGACATTGGTACATGGCAAGATTCGATCACAAGACCTGTAGATTACAAGTCAAGTGCTCAAACCCCTGAGCGTCCGAGGCTCTTATACGCGAATATTAATGAAAAACTGGTCAAATATTTAAGAAAATCAGCAACAGTCGTGATATTCGTGTGAGTTTCATCATTTTTAATTGTTAACGAGCCGCTTAGGTCAGTTCATTTCAGTGTGCACGCCCACGCGTCAATTGTTGCGCCGTTGATAATGCCCATTTAACAGCCGACCTCTGATTCATAACACTTTCAAATGTGATCTGGTTTGTGACAGATGTGCACAAGGAATTGGGATATATTATGCGCACCTTAGATGTGCTTAAAAGTGTAAAATTTAAATTATTATTTTATCTGACATATGATGACTATGCAGATTTGTCACTATTACTTTATTGCTTTATTTTCCCTCTCTTTTATTGCCTTCCAAACCATCTTTTTTTCTTTGGCTTTCTACTACAAAATCATCGTATACGATTATCACCTCATATAGCATCAAACCCTTCGATGAGAATGTATAGTCGCAATAATCCGCGGTGGTCCAATTACAAAAAAAATGCCATGTTTCTTGTTGAAATAACTTAAAAACTGCTAGAGCGATTTTAAAAATTCTTTCACCATTAAAAACGTAATTTATCTGTGTTAATATATTTCATTATTTTTTAATTCTAGGCGGATGAAGCCCTTAGTGGGATATATATAGGTATACTTACACATGATATTAGCGAAGAGTTCATCAGAGTATCTATGTGGGTCGGTGAAGCCGCCGACGAGCTGGAGCTCGAGCCGACCCTCGGGGTAGCCGGCTGCGAGGTGCAGTGCGCGCGCTACCAGGGCCGCCGCCGCCTCGCCAGTGCCCGACCCGTCCAGATGTGCCAGCGCTACTGCACCAGAACCTAACAAAACACCACTTTGAATTACTAATGTCAGTAGTCTGACAGTGGTAATGCCCGCTTTAACATGTTAGCACTGCAGGGCCGGCACGCCCGGTGTAATACCACGACCACACAGAAGACAGGCGTGAAATGGAAGCAATTCCGTGTTTCGTCTGATGAGTGTGGTGCCGGAGGCCTAATTTAAGTCCCTTTATCTTTACCACCCTTTTCTTAAGAGGAAAGTATGGGAAAGAAAAGTGGATTTAACGGTGGAGGAGACGCATAGGAAGGGGAAATGTCCTCTTTATGCGCGTCTCCTTCTCCGTCAATTAAGGGTAGGCAACGCATCTGCTATTGCGGATGTTTATGGGCAGCGGTCGCTTTCCATTTCGGTGGATTCAGGCCGCTTGTTCGTTTGCCACCTTGTATTATAAAAAAAAAATAGTATGTAACGACTTAGAGAAGTTCGATAAAAACGTTTTGAATGTTAATTTTCCATTTGCAACAACAATATTGATTATATTACTTTTATGTGAAAACTTAAAATATAATCTGTATTGCAATACTCACCTGAATGTCTCACGACTACTATAATACATGATGTAGCGTCGTCAGAGCCTATGATACTGACGTTTTCTGAAAAAAAAAAGCATTTAATTAGTGCAATAAGGAAGAGATAAGTTTGCAAAGTTTCATGTTACTTTTTTACTGCAATTTTTGCACGCATAATTTATGACTAGATCTATTTTACTCTCCAAACTACAATAGATAGCTAAATACATATGACATGCGTGTACTCACTGTCATGTGGCACAGCCGAAGCAAGTTCCCTCTGGGCTACATATAGCAGTCCTTGCGGGCCGACCACCCTGGGCGCTGCGGCTAGAAGCTGGGCGGCCGCATCCCTATAGCCAGGGTGCGCGGCTAACAGCGCCCGCACCGAAGTCGGGCACTCGTCAGCCAGCACGCCATTCAGCACCACCACCATGCTATCTCTGAAAACAATAACAATCAATCACCTATCTTTTTATATCTTCTACAAATTCTGATACAAAAATTAAGATAATAATATGGTACCTAATTACATAAGAGAAAAAAAATGCCCTTTGCTTGGTAACCAGTATAAGACCTTTGCAATTTCTACCATAACCCATGCTTATTTGTAGTTCAAGTATGTAAGAACGTTGTAAGTTAACCAATGGTGTTTGAGACTGTGTCGATAATACGAAACAAATAGAACGGTTTCTTCAAAATTGATTAATGTAATTCAATTTGGTCACATAGTCAAACAAGTACAATCTCAACTGTTCCAATACATCTGTGGTATGAAAAAGAACATATTTTAAAGTAGCTACTGTCACTGAACATTGTATAACCGAGGTTCAAATAACAATTCTAGGACGGACAAAAGACAGACAATCGGGGGCTCAGTCAATTGTGTTTTAATATATTCGGCTCGGCTGGAGGTTAGCGCAGGTGAGGTACGTTTCCATTCCACGTTGCATTTGCATACGGCAAAGCTACTCACAAACAAGTGACGGTGAAGCGAAAAACATTCGAAAAGCAACAAAAATGGTGTGGAATATTTTTGAATTCGTTTAAAATTTAAAAAGGATGCCCACAACGAACTATACAAAGTATGGATAAATTTTAATTATTTTAGAAACATCCTGGATTAAAAAAAAAAACATTGAATGACTTGAAACATTGGTACATTCACGTCATAACTTACATTATTATTATAAATTACAAGTTAAATAATCATGCAATGTAATGTAATAAGTAATTTAATAGTGTTAAAACCAAAACAAGACGTTTGCTGATAATACAAAAAAAACTTATAAACTCATGTTATGAATTAAAATTGTGATAAGAAAAGAATTTGTAACGCACCATTGATAAGAGAGCTATTTTAAACCTCGAGCTTACAAGAATTGCTTGCTTCTGAGGGATGGAATCCAATTACATCTAAAATGATTTAATTTTAGAAACTTCTGGGCACAACGTAACAGTACCTATACTTGTCTAACATTTGTCACTATTATTTGGATAGCACCTAAACCATATAAAGAGGAATTTGTATTATTGAATTGTATATTATGAAATAACTCAAAAACAACTGGGCTGCTTTTAAAAATTCTAACACCATTCAAAAGCTACATTTTCTCTGAGTAACATAGACTTATTTTTTTTTATAATATCATAGGAACTTAGTAGTGAGAAACATATAGTAGATTATGCAGAACTTACATAAATCCATTTTAAGACGATTTTCCGTCATCAAAGAAAAACATATCACAAGCGATTCATCGACATAAAATGTTTTGTAATAAGCACGTGGGAACAATCGTTACAAATCCTTAAACAAACGAGTGATGATAAATGACTTCACCTGCTAAGAAATTGAGACGCATCAATACAATCGAATCCAGTCGTCAAAAAATCGATAAAAGAATCATTCGTTTAACTTATACAAATGTTCAGTTCCGTAACAATAGTCTAATTATGTTTAACGAATAATAATCGGTACCCATCAATCACAATCGAAAAGCAATCGTTATAACGTTCAAGTGTATGATTCCACGCTTAACTTTCTCATAGAAAATATCTCTATTTCACTATACTAACCAATCGAATATAGTTTTAGACGTGTAAATGTGTGAGACGGAAGATCGAACATTGGGTAAAAATGTTCAAAAAGCTTATACTCGTACATTAACTTGCATTCAAAAGGGTAATTGTAATTTTTTTTTACTATAGAACTTTTATAAATACCGACTCATTTTGTTCAAATTATTACAAACTAGCCGTTGCTCGCGACTTCATCCGCGTGATATTATTAAACAACATAAAATAAGACCTGTGCTACTCACAGATAAATTACCTATCTAACGGTGACAGAATTTTTAATATCGGCCTATTAGTTTTTGAGTTACAGTAGAACCTCGATAACTCAAACCTCTGTAACTTAAAAAACCTCTATAACTTTAAAAAAATAATATGTTCCCTTCCTATCAGAGCCCAAAAGCTCTATGACAGAGACTCTTGATAACTTAAAATGTTTTGTGTTTTATTATTGTTATATTTTGTGCGAGGCGCGACGCGACCGCGATACAACATCTTTAACCCTCGCCCTGAAGAAGGACCCCCCGCAGGGTCTGAAACTGGTCGGTGCCGTCACCGGAAAAAAGTATGACGTGAGTAACCCGTTATATAATTAATTATAAATTGTCTCACGAAAGTTAAAATAATTTAATTTTGTGTTTCCCTTCGACTTTAACTTATCAAGATTCTACTGTATTTCAATACATACTCAAATACAATCCTTTCCTCTTTATAATATTAATATAAATTAGTTAACAGTCGAATTACCTGTTATCACAATCCCGTTAAAAAACTCACTAAATTATCAACACTACAAAAATCACAAACACCAACGTACTGGCATAACAAAAGAAAACCTTTTTACAAATAAAACACTGGTCAATATTTTTTAAAATTAAGAGTAAAAAAGATAGAAACAGTTGCACTGTCCCCGCGCGAGTTTCAACTACAGTAGAATAGAGGTTATCGCAGCGACATGAGCACAACGAATGCTCCGCTCAACCAGCTTGTTATTGTTATGATAATGCTTATTATGTTGGAAATAGCGCGCCGATAGTGTCCGTATCTCGCAATAAGCAATTAAGAAATATACCATCGACTCCTTTTATCGCGTGTAATAACAAACGAGCGAACTCGCTTGCGAATGTCTCGATAATAAACATACATATCAGCCCGTTTCCTCGAAACGTTTTAATGAGCCGAGTTATCATCGATGTGTGAATCGAATGAGCTTTAATATTTAACCTAAATACACACTTATGATCAACGTTAGTAACTATACACATTTAATTACACTTACCTAAATATCACTCGAAGATATCTTTATGTTTGAAGTTAAAAATGATTTTCAATTAAAGATTTAATTAAGCACATAATCCGTTGTAGCGAGAGAGGGAGAGAAAGAGAGAGAAAACATTTAGAAAAATCCGTACGTCACTAATATAACAAGATCAAAGACGACTGATCCCGGACTTAATAATCATTGTTAATTGGACAAGGCACGCGCGCGCCGCTTGCACCAAGTCACAGCTGTCCCTTTAACAATGTGAAGTTACAAAGATTTTTTATATTAAGCAACGAAAAAACGGGAAGTTAAATAGCAAAACATATTTTAATGACTGACATTATAATCATCTATTCTCTGTACTAGGTTTCGCCCGCGACTCCGTCCGCGTGGAAATAAAACAAAAGTAAGTAGTCTATGTGTTCTTCCAGAACATCCTATACATCTATACCAAATTTTATAGAGATCCGTTTATCAATTTAAACTTTCACATTCATAATATTAAGGGCCTGCCCGACTACTGGCTGATAAAGGCTTAGATAGCTTAAAAATGAGTACACTGTAATAAGGGAACAAAATCCAATATTTCTATGACACATTTTACACGTTTGATTATTAAACAATTTACAATTTGAAGGGACAGGCCCTTAGTGTAATTTTTTAGATATGCATTTTCAAAAAAATATTCTTTACTTTCAGAATCAACACAAACTAAAATTTAATCACATCATTCTAGTTTAGATTCGTTTAGTACCAATTTTAACTAAATTAATTCTTTGGTTTTCCCTTTGCGGATTTAGTTCTATTCATGTTTAAAATTATTATCTAAATTAACATCCGATTGACATTATAATGTAACAAAACATAGTAAAAAAAATACAAAATTCCACTAAGAGAACCGGAACGGGATTCCCAGAACATCAATTTTAAATAATGACACAAGTCGGTGTAAATAATTTCAGTGTGGCAGTTAGGACGTAAAAACAGCATAAAATTATAGCGGAGCAATAAACTGTGTCTTTGTACAATATAACGGCATTAAGATACACTTGTATTAGTTCTATCTATTATGATTTTTTAACGCCGTGGTCCAGAAATATGTTGTTTATTAATAGTTCCTCCACCTAGAAATAACTCAAAAACTACAAGGGCAATTTTAAAAATTCTTTCACCATTAAAAAGCTAAGTTACCAGTGGAATGCTTTTTATCATTTTTTTATTTCACGCGGACGAAGTCGCGTACAATAGCTAGTATAACGTAAAATACATATTCGTTAAATAATAATCTTTTATTGTTCTCGTCAATGTTGATACTTTGTGTTAATTTTAACACAAGCATATTTTAGAGAGTAGTCTTTTGTAAAAGCCGCGACTAGATTTTCTACTTCATAAAACTATTTAATAACTAACTTAGACGTCTTTTAGAAAAAAACAATGTGTACCGAGTTAACAACAGATATGCAATAAAGCTAGTACGTGAAGTTATTCCACCATTACTGCTTACTAAGTTACGCCGTTTCATAGTTCAACTTAAACTTCGGACAGTTTAAAGTTCATATTTTTTTAAGTACTTCTGAATTGGTCTCTTTTAAGAAAACGTTTATTATAGTCTAGACAACTACTACATATAAATATAGAACCGCACTATCTCGAAGATTAGAGAGATATCAAATTATATCCAATGGTCAAAAAATGATAATTTCGACCACATAAGGGGGCGTCCATAAATAACGTGAGGTGTTTAAGGGCTCGATCAAGTCACATCTAATCTTACGTTGGAGAGAGGGGGTTCTCGGCAAATATCACGCAATTTTTTTTTCTGATTGAAACAAAAAAAAATATAAAAACCCCTCACGTAATTTATGGACGCCCCCTAACCGTTTATGGTATATCAAGTGGCATCATGGTCAAACGTTCCTAGTATTTCCTTAATAAAAAGTCAGGATCTACTTTCTAAATGGTAGTTATAAGTATAAAAATTACGATCTTTACGTCACTACACCTATCGGAAAATAATTGCACTAAAGACAGTACAAATCCGACAATCATTCGAATGTTCCAGAAACATAAAAGTTCAAAGGTATATACATTGGGCTACTGCAACAAGGCGGTACTTAGCTCTACTGCCAACGAGGTAACACTAAAATGGAATGAATTCGTGACCCCGTCGGTCGCAGGCTTGCCCATTACACTCTGAACACTATAGGCTTATTAACGAGCGCTAGACAATGACGTTAATGCTATTAAGAGTGGCCGCAATCAACCGACCGCCTATAAATGCCTGCACTTTGTCCGTTGCCAGACAATTTACTGTCCATTACGTTCATTGTACTGGATAATCTAATACCAAGGAATTAATTTACGTATGAAATTGCTATGGGCTTATAATTGTAATGTTCATATGAATGTAGATATGTTTCGGTTTAGTAACTGTATTTTGAACTATTCAATGACAAAGGTGAAATTTTAATAAATACAAAAAAACAAAACTCTTTGATACTCGACCATACCAATGCATACTAAAACACTCACAGACGACATATCTTTCATAGCTTAAATGTTATTCCCACGGCATATTAATGACTAAGCAAAAGTTTAGCGGATACGGTCCTTTTATGCGCCGTCGCCCATTACCCGATTCATTTGCGGCAAGACAAACGTTGTATTGGGGGCGAGCACAAATTTCGCCGATACCGATCGTTCCATCGTACTAAGACAATGGTTATCCCGATAGACGGCAGATAGCGCCCCGGCCTGATGGATGCCGCACGTTTGCCAGATATAATCTTATTCGTGACGTTAAACTCGTGTGCACCAATTATTATTCAATATCTCGATATTCAGCTTTATTAGATCAAATAATATTGGGGTACAGGATGTTTCAATAGCTGAGGTTCAGGTCAAGTGACAATCGAATTTGACACGACTTTAATTGAATAATGGTTTTATTACACGATGACATTGATGAAATCATTCTTGACGCTATCGGCCCAATACTGAAATGATATTAAATAGTAAGGTGCTCTTAGTACTAATTATTTGGCCGCATAGCACATAATATAACATGCTGTATATTACTAAGTGCTTTAAAATGAGGAAGGATACAATTGCAATGCGCACGTTTTGTGAACAATTTTCCACAAACTGTAAGGAAATAGGACAGATGATAGAGTCGATGTCAACCACCGTTACAAAAGAAGCCGGTCATAGTGTTGGCAAAGAGGCGAGTAACTATAGACATAAGTAGTAATTATGAAAACAGTAGTCGACATTAAAATTAAATACAAAGATACATGAGTAATTTGTATCTACTTACTTTTACATTAGCAAGAGAATTTTACATTTTTTTCCTTCAATAAAGTGGGTTAGGAACAGATACTTGTGCAAATGTTTCTGCAGTTGAAACAAGCTGTATTATCAACCACAACAGTTAAAGTCGATAAAATCATAGAGTAGATATCTAAAATATAGGTCGAGTAATGCATATATTTCCTGCATGATATCTTATCTATACCATATCGTAAATAGGATAATTAATAAAATGAACGCAGTCGTAAATCACAAGTTTGTCAGTAGTGTATCAATGATCTATACAAGTTAAGTTAATTTCACACGAGGGCAGCACAGAGTATAACAATAGAACAGAACAGTATTTTTCAAACCCACGACAGACTTTACTGTTTTGACACGTCACTTTGTCTTCGTGGGAATATGTTTATTGCGAAAAAAAGTAATTTTAACAACGAAAGAGATCTGTCAAACTATAGCAGTACTGTATTGTAACTGCTCTACCTAAATTTTCGATCTTCGTGTGTTACAAATGAACGCAATTTCAATTATGGAAGATTTATCAAGTGGGTTATTATTGTTTGTCGACTTACGTTTAGTGGGTGGAGCTCTTGATGTGATGATCATTCAGGTCGCGTTGCCACCTGAGATAAAAAATGTTCACATTATTAATGCGATAATAATGATTATTACTTTGAAGGTTAACGGTTTATATATACTGTTACATATTGGATCCTGGTTTACATTAGTACTTGAAATCATTGAGATCTCTGCATTAGGTGTACAGAGAGACTACGAAAGATAAGTGCAAAAAAAAACATAGACAGGCACTTTTTTGCTTTTAAATCATCCTATAGCTTTAATAGATGGTGATGGTGAATTTATTTCTACAATATTTTTCTTATAAATGTTTAATTCCTAGACAATTCCCTTTAAATTCAGATCAGATATCGAGAGATTATTCTTATTTGATTTGTAAAGAAGTCGATAAACAGAGGCGTAAAAATGTCGTACGTTTTGCCACGCGTCGTCAGAGATGTGAAGATTGCGAATCTAAATTTATCTCGAAAGATTTTGCACGACCGGCCGGGACGCCGAGACGCCGAGAGATGGCGACGCACGACGGAAATTAAAATAATACAACTCTGAATTATGAGGCATGCCCACAAACTACCGCGAATATAGGTAATGTTACAAAGATTAGGTAAAGTCCTCATTGGGGTTCCGTAAAAGTTTTCGTTGAACTAGTAAACTTAACTTGCATAAGTAGATAAACAATAACAGATTTTAATGTACCATGTATTGTCGATTGTTTCGTAGATGTATACTTTGTAATAGTGATATATTATACAAACCCATATTATTAATAGTGATTACAGTATTTGGCCAGAATATTTTGCTTTAAAACAGCACATTCGTCAATTCATAAATCTTACTAATCTTACTTCTTACTAATATTATAAATGCGAAAGTTTAGATGGATGGATGGATGGATGGATGGATGTTTGTTAGAGTTTGTAGTCTAAACGGCTGAACGGATATCGATGAAATTTGGCATAGACGTAGAGTATGGTCTGGAAAAACACATAGGCTACTTAGTTTTGTTTTTTTTTTAATTCCACGCGGACGGAGCCGCGGGCGAAAGCTAGTAGAATATAATATAGAACATTCCTCATACCTAAGGTTTTATTGACAATTCTTAAAAAGTTTAAGAACCACATCTACAAAAGCGTAATACCGCGGTATCAGCGGTATCGGTGCCCAAGCGATCCGCTCAGATAGTCTACGATCGAACCGATATGGTTTTGTTCGTGATTTATTTTGGACCGCTGCCATATAAGTGTACTTGTATACCACAACAATGGTTCGCGGCTTTAGATTTACGGAGCTCGATTTTATAGATAAAAGTAAGGTGGATCCGAGGAAATGTACACCCAGCCTTACATGACATTAGCTGAGTGAACTCACGAATCGATGTAATACGATACTTAGATTTCAATAATTTATCTTAATTGCACAAGTGTACACTTGGTGAAGGTATTAAAAGGTCGTATTAAAGTTTATTATAAGCTTGAAATATAACGTTGTTTTCGAGGTTTGTTTATCCGGTTTTAAAGCTTATTCGGTACAAATTACTATTACATTTATAGAACCTTATTTTATCATAGTTTAGAAATAGTAAACTTTGCTAAAAATCGTACATTTTCTATTGTAATATAAATCTGCAACTCTATATCTTCATTACTGAAGACATGAAGAAAACGGTGCTAAGATAGAAATCCTAAAATTACGACGCTTGCGTTTTTTTCTCTTAGATATGCGACAATCGCGTTCCACGATCGGTACAAATTACTTTAATTGTGGTAACCCTAGGAAAGTGGGATTTAATCACAAGAGTTGAGCGTGTGACATCTCAATGAGATAGCGATTAGCAAATTTCAACAAAATAACACGCTATTATTGATGTCTTAATGACGAATGATGATGATTTAATGAGTTATTATTATTATTATAATCTCCATATATCTTTATTTCTTATTTTCTATATAATGTATTTTACAAGAATATAAAAATAAAATAAAATATGTTATATAAAAAATAGAGCACCACCGACTGCGGAATCCGATGACTCAAGTAACCAGTGGTCAGGGCTGCAGAGACAGGAACCTCCTCACTACGCGTGCGGTTTCTAAAATAACCGTCTTTTGAATCACTGAATTGAATTAAATTATTATTAATATTACTATTGAAATAATCACGTAATTTGTTACAATATGAATTTCTAAGAATATAACTTCCTTCTTCATACAAAATAAATTATAACACAGAGTCTCGCTTAGTGACCACTTAAGCGGTGTCTTTGTATTAAAATGTGCAATTTAATTTGTTATTAACACTGTGTCAATTAACATTATTTCTCTTCCTTTAACTATGGGTGCACTTTAATAATTACGAATTACAAAAAATCTTGCAAGATGGTTGAGAAAAAATGAGTTCTACGCTAATACAAATTAAGATTATATTCGATCTTCATTCAAGGGTATCACAATCTATTCATAACAAACACTAAAACATCCATCAATCACCGAGTGACGGATAATGATATGCAGATCGTACGCTACAATGTAACATTTCGATGTATTAAGTTCCTCATATGACATCAACTCTATCTATACGATATGCTCAGGATATAATCAAAAATATCTATTACTAGTTGTTGCTCACAACTTCACACGCGTGAAATTAAAAAAATAATAAAAGAACATAGTCTATGTTACTCATTGATATAGCTTTTAATAGTGAAAGAATTTTTAATTTCGGCTTCGTAGTTTTTTAGTTATTTCAAATACATACATAAATACAAATCTTTCCTCTTTATAATATTAGTAAAGATTTAAAAGGTATACGTACAACTAAATGTCAAAAACTACTACTATATTTGAATCGGAAGTGTAAACTTACAAAGTACACAGTTGGTTGACACAAAGATACTATAAATGTAAACCGACAGATAAAAGTAAAATCAAATCATACAGCATTAAATAATCACACAAGATTATAAACTACAATAAAATTATTACATACTGGAGTGTTACGCTGGCGCTTGCTAGCCAACTATGCGGGACGCCGGTGCCAAAACTGTAACGTTCGAGTTAATTGGCTCCTAATGTTATTGAGTCATTCGTTACTGTTTAGCGTAGGCGTTGGAGCCATACCGCGGAAAATATCGAATGTACAATCGGGGAAACTGGCGATGTTCTACCTTAAAAGCTACAAACGCTTATAACTGTGACTGTACGAAAAAAAGTTGGTTAGTGACACACTAGTTTCTTTTTATTATTCTTCCTTTGTAACTCACTGCTAACTTATTATTTAATTGTAAAAGACAAGGGCAACAAACATGGCAATTTTTCCTAAAGTGGGACACCGCGGATTTTCGCGACTGTACCGCCGATATCATCAAATATTAAGCTATAAATGTAGCTTTTGTCGCATAAACATTTATACCTCAACTTAATCATTAAAAGGACGTTCACAAATACTCAGTGATATAAATTGCCCTCATCTTATTGACTATAGACGTTTTAATCATATACCAGACATTTTTAAAAGACCTAAGATTGCCTAAACTCTAGCGTCAGAGACCATCATTATTACTAACCTATTTTCTTATCGAATTCATTAAGAATATTAAAATTACCAAAACATATCGATTTATCTTTCACATTCTTGTAATATCTCGAAAATCTTTCACGGGTTTTCTGCACTGAATACATATTAATAAATAACCTGGCAGACGCTACAGTGGCGCCGACAGTTTCACATTTTCATCAATTCTGAATAACTATAATTACATATTGTCTCATAAAATACATATATATTTTTTACGAAAATGATGTATAGATTATATGTGAATTGAATGTTAGCTAGAGGTTATAAAAAGATAGCTCTACTGGATAATATTTAATCATTTAAACTCGAGTGGAAAACAAATACGGTTTATTTGATTTCCTCGAAAAGTCAAGGGTATCGATTTATAAGTCAAATCGGTGACGATATCAGTACGGTAAATAATGAATCATATTTTCTTTTTAATACTGCAGTATTTCATATGTGTAATGAATTCCTATTAAAATTTACAATTGAGATAGAAAAAACTCTGTTTGATATTTATTCCTAGAGAGCAATCTTGTTTGTATTCGTAGGTGGATATGTATAATATCAAACGATATATACAAAATACTCCGTGATCACAGTTGATTCCTGTATTATGAATATAATGTAGCAGTAAAAGTATAAATAATTCAGTAATGTGCATCATTTCTCTGGAGCGGGCAGTTTGCATACTGATCACAGCATGTACACCATGACCAATGTCTATTACCCTGTCTCGTAATACATTGTGATTTACACTTTAAATATAAATTGTAATATGAATATTGAAACGTAGATTGTTATACAATTATATTTATGATTTGAGTTTCTTAATCCCTAAAATCTTGAAATTATAGAAATTGAGGATACTGCAAAATTTATTCCATGCTAGCTTTCGCCCGCGACTCCGTCCGCGTGGAATTAAAAAAACGATAGTGAGTAGCCTATGTATTCTTACAGACTACCCTCTACATCTATACCAAATTTCATCGAAATCCGTTCAGTCGTTTAGGCTACAAACTTTAACAAACATCCATCCATCTAAACTTTCGCATTTATAATATTAGTATGAGGTATGTAGCATGAAGTATGAAGTATGATTGTGCTTGCCTTGTTTTTGAAGAAGCGGCTTTGTTAGCTATTTAGTAGAATTCATTGGATTATCTTTTCCCAGTCAGCCTAATTTAAGTCACTAACTACATCACCCTATTTAAACACAAATGTCGCAATTAACTACTTAAATTTCTCAAAATTTTTTTTAGAAAGTACAGTTAATAAATAAGTCCTATTAAATAGAAATAATATGGTAACAGTGTGGGAAATCATCCGTTTGACTAGCACTGACAGAATTTCATGTTAGCATTATGCGTGCATGTCTGGCCTCGGAAGAGCAATCGCAAATAGAATCTCACAATTTGATACGCCTCTTACAAACCTGCAAGCTCCATTATAATGTAATATTATATTATTTACATTCTCTGCAAAAATTACACGTCTTGTCATGTATTTTATAAAGTAAGAATATTTTAATCACATAATGGAATCAACCAAATATAACTGCAACATTTTCTGTATGACCCTTTTATAAACAGAATCAAAACTCAACTTGTTGAGTTACATTCTGATTATAATCTTCTAATTATGCCATTATTAATTCCAAATGTACATTTAAAATTACAAATTTTTAATATCCGTAATGAGAGCTGGATTTTAAAAAACAAAAACCTTTTGCTCAGATTTTAAAAAGACTAGGGACTAGGGAAAAAGACTAGGGAATACGGATATGATGTCCTTCTTCATAGCCACTAAAGAGAGAGGAAAAGAAAAACATGTAAATATATATATACATTTTTTTTTATTTTACTTGTTAAAACTAATAAATAACAGTTAATTTTGTTTTTGTTTCTGACCAAAATTGAATCACTTTGTGAGGGAAGTCCTTGGCTAATTAAAAACAGGAATGCTAGTTAAGTCGTCAAGGCAACAATGGTTGATGTAATTAACCTTAGTGTGCTATAAAAATATTCTTTTTCTTATTCTTCTTATTAAAATACTATCTGATTGATCGGCAAGTATGGAAGACTGGAAGTAAAAATATTTCAGCAACGATATGTTGAAGACGGGAATTCTAAACATGAATACTACAAGACTGTATATATAGACTCAAAATGAACCAGTAAGTTATGCGTAGATATACATTTGGTGTCGGCGGTCAGTATCGAAACGTATAATTGAGTTTGGCTTGCAGGGGGCGGGTCTGGACATCGGTGGTAGATGGCGCGATAACTGGCAAGGAATCGCGATATAGGATACGAATGAATAACTCGTATTGGAAATATAGCCTTTATAAATTACTGGCTGTTCGCGTGCGGCTTCATCCGCATGAAATTATGAAAATTTTATTTTATTATTTACATTTGTCATATTATCAATAGCAAATGACATGACATGATGACAACCTCGCTTCCTTGATGTTGGCAGCAACTTATGGTCTCTTTCCCACAGGGTTTTTATCAAAAATATTTACCCCCTAAGTTTAATGGCGTTAAAATATATACCCTAAAACGTGACGCAATTGTAGGACTATTTATTAAAATAGGTATTATTCAAAAATATGCTGTAATTGCTGACATCTTAGGCAACAAAGAAGTGTGTGTTTACGCTTTATTATATTAGTATACTTATATTATAGATACTTATAGATCATTAAGGTTTATGTAAAACGGTGAAGAGATAAAGCTATTGGAAAATTATGACAAGGGATGAAAAGGGAATCAGTTTATTTATGTTCTTGCACATGAAGGGAAAACAAGTCCTAGTTTACTGTCTTTCAACGATCTTACATTATCTTTAAACGAAACACAACAGTGTTCATAAATGACACTGAACATTCACGTAATTATTGACATTCATACAATCAATTACATGAATGTTCAATACATAAATCGAAATTGCTGATTTCGTAAGCCGGCTTAATCCTTAGCAGATTACCCTTCCGAGAACTCCAGTCGCTCATTAGCCAGCAATAATTACATCACGAAACATACCAGGAATCGTCGACACCATTCCCCTCTAACATACAACTATGATCATTCGAGTGAATGAGATAGAATGATTCCGATATCGAATCGGACGACTCAGATCGAGATCAGTATGCGGTCGAGATAATAGTATTACAAACGTCTCATTATTTATTGCAATAGTTTGTGAGACATGAGAAATGTTTATTAGCCGTATAATGAACTTAGTTGCACAAACGCAATTTACGTGCGGGATGTAAAAAAACATTACTCGAAATCGAAATATTCCATTAAATTTTGAGCAACATTTTAAAGGTAGATTGATTAAATTAAAATATAACGGTTTAAGTCACTATTATTAAAATAGAAGCGATCGTATAATTAAATGTTAAAACACGCAAGTCACCATCACAATGCAAACTAACTTATAATTGTGTCCGAACGATGTTTCTTACATTAACGAGTCTTAATTACACCGTGGCGAAATCACGTAATGAGGCGTCTCACAATATACACTATGGGGTGTCTTATTAAAGAATTTATAATGAACCTATTATCAATTAATATTAAACTTATACAGACGTACATTAAGAAATAGATGTACTCAAAAAGCTTCACTTGCAAAAATTATAAACAGAGTCATCTTTCAGAAGATCTTTTTACAGCCACACTCAGAATCATTGTTTGGTCCTTGACAAACTTATTGTGGATTTCTTCACAAAGTTGCAGTTCGCGATCGAACTTAGAGACTGTAAATGAAGTCAATTCTGATGGGAGACAACTTAGAATTAGGCTTTCGGCACCTTAATTTAATCCACAACATACTAATATATCATATCATACGTAAATGCGAAAGTTTAGATGAATGGATGTTTTTTAAAGTTTTTAGCCTAAACAATTGCTCTGATTTCGATTAAATTTGGCATAGATGTAGAGCATAGTCTGGAAGAACACATAGGCTACTTGCATTTGTTTTTTTTTTTAATTTCGGGCGGACGGAGTCGCGGGCGATAGTGTAAGATAAGTTCTGTTCGAGCTGCAACTATTTATAGATTTTATATGACAGCTTTAACATATACAGGAACGGATCATGATGCATCTAAACCGTTAAAGACAGAATAAAACCCGTTCAACATGAAACGAGAGCCGATATTTATAGTCAATAAACAGAGGTATTTACACGAGAGGAGCAGGGGCCCACTGCTAGTTTTATGATGTAATTGCAACCACATTAATGCATTTTTTATGTAAAAAGATAAAAGAATTTTCATTATTTTATCGCATAAAAGGTAACAATGTAGAAATGTTTAAAGAAAATAATGTTGTCAAATCGAATAGGTTGAAAGAAGTGACATATGGGACCCAAAAATTATTTACATTTAGGTAAAAGTACTTACATTTATGTCACGTGGTTCACACAAAGTTACCCATGCGGCTTGGATCTGCTGTACCTGAGAATAAATTATGTTTTTAATAATTCAGTCAAGAGAATTTCATTGGTTTGTTATTTAATTAACATGGTAACACAGGTCAGTAAATCTAACAAGTTCCAGCTATACATTCCAGCATAGAAACAGGATCAACAGTCGAGTAATTACTGGATCGGCGACAAAAAGTGTCTATGATCGATTTTTTATGCACGTCCCGAGAGAACGGAAAACGTTGGCGACGTTTCTAGAAGCCATGGAATTCTATAACATTGTCGATTGGATGCGCAACTAAATCCATAAAATCAGTCACTATGCTCAGAGCATTTATAGTCTTCTAAATTATCTTAGTAATATTACAAATGCAAAAGTTTAAATGGATTAGTGGATGTTTGTTAGAGTTTGTCTCCTAACCTACTTATGGTTTGCATGAAATTTGGCATAGATGTAGAGAAAGTCTGTAAAAAACATAGGCTTGTTACTTCTACTTTTACAATTCCATGCGAACTAGAATTCTAGTTATTATAAATTGCATAATAACTTGTTTGAAATCAATAACTTCTAAACCACCTATAGATACCATTAAAGTTTACAAGACAATAAAACAGATAGCTTCAATATACCCCGTGCAATCTTGGCTCTAGCTTAAGGTAGTAAAATCCGTCGTTCGAATATTTCTATATTTCATTATTGCAATAAATGAGATGAGCCGATATCTTCATTACGGGCGGAATCAACACGATAATTACAGCCTCGCCGGACCAACTATGAAATTAATTCCGGACGGGGCTCAGTGAAATAGTGCAACGATATACGTCGTAATATTATTAATGAAGCCAATGCCGACAGCATGCCGTAAAATTCAATATGTGCACCAAAACTGCATGATACGGAAGAAAATAATGATTAATTTTGTAGAAGCTTTCTTAGTACACAAACAAATGCAATTTGCAAACGTTTTTGCAAATTGCACAGCGTTTATATTAAGGACTAGCTGCTCTCGTGCGACTTCATCCGCATGAAATTATGAAAATTTTAATTTATTGTTTACATCCGTCAAATTATCAATTACAAATGTCAAAATGATACATCATGATGACATTCTTGCTTCCTTGATGTTGGCAGCAACTTATGGTCTCTCTCGCACATTAGGGCTTTTATCCAAAATATTTACCCCCAAAGTTTAATGGCGTTAAAATATATAGCCTAAAGAATGACGTAAGTGTAAGGCTTTTTATTAAAAAAAAGAATTATTCAAAAATATGCTGTAATTGCTGACACCTTAGGCAACAAAAAAGTGTGTGTGTTTACGCTTTATTATAATAGTATAGATTGATAAACTTATCTCAAAGAATCAAAAGAAATCAAAATGTTTTTATTTTATTATAAGCATTGATATGATTTATTCGTAAGTAAAATAAAAACGAAATTAGAAAGTCTTATCGGGGCATAGATAAAGAATTATCGGAAAGAGTTTATTTTCGGTGAGTCAAACAGTGTTTTGTTGATAAAATACGTTTCGAGTGTTTACCTTATCTGGCACTCATAAATTATATAAAACCTCCATTATATTTATATACGGCAGTGTGAATTGTAAAAAATCTTCACCGTCTTTTATAGAAATCTTTAATTTATGCTTGCGATGATTTTTTGCATTCACTTCTTAACCCGTGACACCGTCCGCGGAAAATTAAAAAAAACTTAGTTATATTGTAGTTTGTTAAAGGAAAACTATTGGTGTTTAAAAAAAATGATTTGTTTGAATAGCAACAGTTTTGGTATAAAATTATCAATAGTAGGGCGTATTGTTATTTCTAGCGTTGGTCTGATCACGAATTTGAGACCCCGTTGCATCTACAACAGTTTGTAGAATCAATAGGGAGAATGTTATTGAGTAATTTGTAGCGATAGCTCGGGTACCATCGACCGGGGCCCAATCACAGCAATCCACTCGTGTATTATTACGTTTTTGTAAAATTACACGTTACGAATGTACAACGTGTGTTTATGGAAAAGTTTGAGAACATCTCGCAGTACGTGTGATTTCGTTTACTTTTAAAGTAAACCAAAGTCTGACATACTTAGTTGTGTACCTCATATAAACATTGGCTGGTAATAACAAAATGTTATACAGATTCTAAATAATTAAAAAGAAACATTAAAGGAAAACGATGCCGTTGTTTAGATTACTCTTTGTATATTTGTAGGTATTTATTCCAATAACAACTTAAACAATCTCACAAAGTAAAATCATACTTCATACTAATATTATAAATGCGAAAGTTAAGATGGATGAATGGATGTTTGTTAGTTTGTAGCCTAAACGGTTGGACGGATTTCTATGAAATTTGGCATACATGTAGAGGATAGACTGGATAACACATATGCTATTCACTTTTGTTTTTTTTAATTCCACTCGGACGAAGTCGCAGGCAAAAGCTAGTGTTGTATATGTAAAACATATCAATTGTTAAACATACATCAAGACAACTAAATTCATCGACTACTTATGTTAGAAAGTTGTGTCAAGGTACACACACACGTACAGATGCGATGGTCAATAGATCATTAGCAATAAATGAGACAATATTGTCGATCCGTTCGTTTGAGACGCCAGCGAACGATGGTTAGTCGTTAATCATGTACACTGAGTGCAAGATTACGGATTATGTTGTACTAAACATTACGTCACGATATACGTTTATTTCATACTTTGGCTTTACACACACGTTTCGGCTCCTACATGTCGACAAAGCCTTGAATCATGTAGGTAAATAATTTTACGACGTTAAACAGTTTTTGAGATACATCTGGGTATTCAACAACAAAACTGGTCGCTTCTATTTACCAATAGCCACAAAGTACCAACAGATCGAAGAAGAAAAACATAGGAGAACTGTTTTAATTCTCATAATATTCCTAATCACGTAATTAATAAACATTTGTAAACTATAATACGTGTACGTGTAACTATGTACGTGCTACGGCATTTTTAGAATTACAACTCAACGTTCTGATAACCACAAAAAAAAAGAATTAACGAAGGCATTCAATAGTGAAATCATAGCCGACACTCGTGATGTCATTTAGAATTTAATTTGAAAGCGAGACAAGGAAATACGAAATCATAAAGGACGCTTACTAAGCACAAAAGGATAAACTCGTTTTAAGAAGTAATTCTTTAATTTAAAACATGAATATTTAAAAAAAATAACTCGAGACGATGTATATGAGCATCATATAATTGCATAGTTTAGGTCGCTGTACGAGTATGCAAGGCATTCTAAAGGCAAGATTTGCGCACATTGCAAAAGAAAGTGCGATGTTATCTTTGCTGCCGAGAGAGGCATCCGTGTGTCCTCGCATTACAGTATTTCACATCTTTAAGACAATTCGGGATCTTTTTTTTTGATACGCGGTAGCACACGGTTTTTTAGTTACACTAAAAATATTGAGAACGCATCTAACCATAAAATATAAAGAGGACATTCTAAATAGCATACAAATTCCACCTGTCACTAGTTAAATTCAAGGTTAAATGTGAATCAAACATTCGATCGGATACATTCAACGGCATCTTATCCAATCTTCAGCTACTTAAATCTGCACGTACCGTGTATCCGAACGGTTTGCGATTGAAATGACATCAGTAAATCGATTGAATTGACAGGCAGGTCGTTCATCTCGTCAGCAAACGACTGCTGGATGGTGTATTGAAACGTCACCGGAGATAAGATCGGACGTCGTTAGTTTGTAGGACTCACGTGCGGTAACTCCGCTTATCAGGTGGGGGCAGCATTAGCTATTCAGTTATGCCAACTATCTGATTGGGAAGCCTTTCACGTACCCATTATAGATGAAAGGAAGAACTACAAAGTTGTGCTTTATGTAAGAATAGGCGATGCGAGATCAAAAGATGGCGTTGACAATGGAATTTTAAAATTATTAACATATTTTATACAAAACTCTACTTCCATTATCTTGAGACTGTTGTTACATTTATTTTATGTATATAGATTACGAGATTACTATCAGTTGTAAGAACAAGATAAAAAACACATGAAGTAATCGCGCCTAGTTTTTTCTACATTTCGCTTTTTGTGCTCATGAAAAAAGTTAGTCAACTTGGCTTTTAACGATAAAACCGTCACTGCCAATCTTTTTTATTGATTCACTATTAGTAGTTTATGTAAAAACTAGTGCCTCGCTTGACTTAATGTCGTATGAAGAACATCTTTATTTATCTTATAAGTAACCTTAAGTATGACGTCAATATTAAATTAAGAGAATTTGAAGACCACTATTTTAGTTTCGGATGAGTTTGAGACCGCAATCTACATTTAACTATTTTTTTATCGTTATCGGCTGGAAATCTTAGAAAGATACCAAACCTACTACAGGGAAATACAGGGTTATGTGATACTAACTCACTAAAACCCGCTCGGTGCCCATCCTCAAGTGCACTTGGTAAAGTCTGAGAATATAAATAGATAAACAACACTACACATAAACCTTTAAACCAAACCAAACTAAGTTTCAATGTTTACGAGATTGTATCCATTATTATTTAAATCATTCTGACACATAACTCTTCCGTCCGGCATGAAAATAGGCAACAAGAGATGTGGCGGATGGACGTTTATCAAGATGTATATTCTACGGCGATAAACTCACAAACTCGTGATCCATCAATAAGAAGGAAAAGAGTGTTCGTCGCGGGAGGGTGTAAGAACCGTCTCAGACGCATCTTCAGTTCGAATAAAGACTCGTTACGCTGCCGGGACTATGAATGATGGATGACCGTTGCTGCATGCTGTACTACACCGATTCCATAACCAAGTCCATCAAATTTAACCTCTATCATAAGGTGGGAAGGTTCAGTTTCATATGATCGTTCACTGACAAGTTGTGGTCGAAGCGTGCGTGCATTGTGCATGATTGACAAGTCCGTGTCGATGTTATCGTCCGTCATAAATAACACCGCCGTCACTAGTTAGTACACATTCATTGCTCTATCGTTTATC